TATGGCTTTGGCTATATTATCATAAGATCCCCATTAAAGCATATTCTATCTACTTAAGGGGGACTATAGGGAATGAAGGAATTGAAAAGGACATGAATGCCACTGCAACATTTGGCAGTATAGTGGCTACCACGGGCATCCATTCCCCTACCCATGGCTAGTAAAGCGGGGTCTTGCACAGCTTCTGAAAACTTCTTACTGCTTGACGTCTGCCTGAGACTCCTGAAGTTGTACTGATACGCAACTGTGTCATTTTCTCGTATCCTCTTTTGATGGTTGCCTTAGTCAAGCAGATAGCTAGTCGAAAGTCTTTGATATAGGTGTCCCTTGGGCGCGTCTTAGAGAGCCCAATGCCGCAAGTTCGATCTTAGAAAATATGTGTTTGGAACAAACACAATGTTCGTGGATCATGGGGTGCTAAATACTGCAGGAAGTTATTGACAATCAAAATGAGAGTGCAGAAGGCCTTGGGTCATGCTACTGTGTTTCAGGGATAGGCTGACTCCAGATTCAGGACGCACCGGTAAGTCCTGGATGGTTTATTGTGTCCGCTGCCGTGCTCAGAGGGCTTAGAACGTCCGCTTATGGTCACAGATTGGGCTCAATCTGTTTGGCGGCATAGGATCTTACGAAGGCAGTAGGCCGAGTCGCTCTTGGTGTTTCTTCTTCGGGGTGCGGGCTGCCATGGGAAGGGCAATACCAGAAGTCTGAGCGCCAACGCCCTTCAAAACCGCAATCGCCCGCCCCTCGTATTGAACTCCACTACCCAAATACGAGCAAACTACCTATTATTTACAAAACTCGCAATGTGCTGAGAGGCGTCTAGGATTCTACTGTAGGGATAGCGTGGTGATCAGGGTTCATTGAGCTACAACCTCAACAGAACGCTGCGCAAGACTGTTTTTGCAAACTGTGTGTCATGTGCAAAGAAGCCCTTCAGGTGGATCTCGGGTATCACCTGCTTTGCAAACAATTTGGCAATCTGAATACAAAGTTGCAGCCAGTCAAGGCAGATCGTCTTTGAATGCAAAATATAGAGCTGTTCCCCCAGAGCATTACATCCTTCTCCTCTGTGGGTATGTCATGTCTACCTATTATTCAATAATAATACCAGGCACCCAGGTAAAAGAAGAAGGTACAAGGTTTTTACAGCAACCTCAAACCCACAAAGAAATTGGTGGCAGCTGACACTAGGGCTGAACGCTGACATCTTCGAGCTGCCAAGAGGTCTTCTCCAGAACCATAAGTGGCTTATTTGCATCAGAGAGAAGTTCTCGGTTTTAGTAGGGAGTGGAATGTCTATAGTAGCTCCTATACTCCCCAGCAATGGAGTAGTTTTCATTTTCTTTGTTTTTACTCTTGCCCTGCTCAGGGGCACCAAGCCCTCAACCCCAACTAAACCCTAAGTTGGGATAACTCCAACCCCAAGTAAATTGTCTAACTATTCGCTGCCCCATTCCCCTCTGGCAACCATAAAGTTGGATTTCTCGGGGCGGCCCGCAGGTCTTGAGAATGCAAGTTTCCCAAGACGCTGATATAGCAGCACTTTTAAAGACTTTCCTGACAAGTGCACTTGTAAGTCACTATCATGCCTGGCAGTATAAGTTGGAATCCCTGAGACTCCCCAAGGGGTCCACGCACCCATAGAGTGTATATTGGGGTAATATAGGGGTTGTCTAGGGATACTGGAAAATAAAATGCAAACTACTATATTCTAATAGGGAATATATTGGGGTTATATAGGGTGCATATACTTAGCGCTGAACGTATCCATACAAAGCCCTGAACCCTGAACCCTAAGCCCTCATCGCCCAGCATCTCAGGATGTGGTCTTGCACAGGCAAGATGGAGCGCATTACTGACAACCCATGGGCCTTCAGCTACAATGACGGATGCCCGATTTTGCCCCACATATAGTGTCCAGTATAGCATACATAGTTCCCAGTATACCATGTATAGTCCCCGGTATACCATGTATAGCCCCCATTATGCCATATATAGTCTCCATTACACCATATATAGTTCCCAGTATACCGTACATAGTCTCCAGCTTACTATAGTTGTTTCCATGTGCTTTTCCAGAACGCCCTATATAACCCCTAAACCTATATCCCTATACCTCCTACACAACCCCTACACATGTCTTGGTCCTGGGCAGGGGTTCCTAAGCCCTGGCCATTGGTCACTTGCTTGGTCAGCTAGTCACCAGTGTAGTATAGGGGTAATATTAAGGTTATATTGGGGTTACGATTATTAGGATAATGGAGAATAAGATGGAAACTACAATTTAGGGTTTAGGGTTAGGGTTTCCACTTGCTTTTCCATCATGCGCAGTACTGTGAAACTGGCTTAGCAGTGTTTTTGGAGGCGAAGGCTCGCAAGTGCTGCTCTCAATTTTGGGGTGCCCTTCAGGGCAGCAACATTAACACAGTGGCTGGAATGTCTGAGATGACTGCAGTACTTGTAGCACTTCAAGCATCAAGTCTCTAAACCCTGAGGGTGTTGCAGGGGTTCTTCTGTAAACAGTTTTGGCGATATGGCTGCGCTTGGCCCAACATCTTCCGGCACCAGCTGCAGGATGGTGTACATAACCCAAACACTTGATGCTTCAGTTTTTTCCGTTACCAGCACCATTACTATCACCAGTGCTATTACTTGTGCTTTTATTGCCTGGCACAAGTTTGACTGGACAGTCGTTGCAGGGGGGCAGGGTTCTTAGTAGTATTATTGTTACTATTATCAGTGTTTTTGGGATTTTGGGTCGGGTCTGCTAGGCTACTAGGGTTTTAGGTGCAATTTGTTTCGGGGTTTCAGCCAGGCTTGGTAGCATTCTCTAGATAGTACATTATAGTATATTATAGTACGTTGTAGTATGTTATAGTGCAATATGAGATATTATAGTACATTATAGTACATTTTCAGTACTTTGTAGTACATTTTCTACATTATAGTACATCATAGTATATTATTGTACATTCAACTATATAGTCTTCTTGCGCTTTGTAAACAAGCGGCACATCCTGGCAGCATGTCATCTTCAGATGCCGTTCCAGACACTTGTCAAAGCAAAGGATGGACTTACGTGGGGCGCATACGTCCTGGGCAGAAGCTTGTGCTGAACACGAAGGACAGGCTGCTAAAGCTCTAGGGCTGCTGAGAGTCCCTTTGAACATATGAGCTGTAGTCTAAACTCCTTAAAGGGGGGTTATATAGGGGATTATAGAGGGGACTAGTATAGGGCTTATTAAGGGGGATACTAGGAGTTTAGACTATAGCTCATATGATCTGTTGATGTTCTGGCTTGCCTTCTATTTGTCTGTACCCCTTGAAGCATGCCCAGTCTAAAGAGCAGGGGCTCGACCAACATGTGCAGCGGAGCTAGCGCAGTCCATCACCTTTTGCATCCATAGCTTGAGAAACCGTGTAATGCCTGGACCTGCATCTGTTGCTCGTTTGTACTTTAGTTCCATCAACATGGCACGAGGTCAGGTGCCGGCCAGCGCTACATCAGTCCAATCTCACATTTCACTTGCCGTGCTTACTCTGCATGATGAATCTTATTTTATTTCTTTGTTTGAAGGGCCTAGGCCGGGTCGTCCAGATAATGATGCGACCTTTGGGAAAATTTGCAGTAGAGGAGACCTCTATACCTGATAGGGGAAGTATGAAATGCGGACTACTCAACAAAGAACTTTCCACCTGTAATTTGCTTTGTCTGGGCATTTCCTTACATCATGGTGCGGCTTGGGTTCTTGTGTCAACCCCCTCCACTCGAGGGACAATCAAAATTTCCATGCTCCCACTATTCCAATTGCGAGCGCTGCTTCTACCCAGCTGCCAGGCTGCTTACAATGGCCATAAATCTGGCTACCTTCTCAGTATTTCCCTTTCGCTTGCCTAAGAAGACGCCAGCGCCATAGGAATCGACGGGCAGCCCGAAGGGCAGCAACTGCCAACCCCTCGATGAGTCCGAACTGACCGAGCTGGACCGGGCGTTCATGGGAGTTTGCTGGCGGAGGGGTTAATGTAGAGATTAAATAGGACTTTCGGCTTTGTGAGTTTTATGTGTGCGAGGTTTTCAGGTTTTACGCGTTTCTGCTTTGAATTGGACTCCGCAGTTGGGGTATGCTCTGCTGGCCGGCTTCGTTGCCCAATCTTAGCTGGCGCGAACTGAGGCACTGTAATTTCTACAGGCTACTGAATCCACAAATGGCCCTTTCATCTTAGCAGGTCGGGACAGTGGAGAGGGAACCAGAACGCATCAAGTGTTTCCTGCTTGCTTGCCCGAAGGAGTATGCGAGACTCGTTGGTGCTCTGATGGAAGAGGAGCCAGAGGGTCAAGATTGGACAGGTTAAGACAGCTAGTGGATGGTACCGATAGGATGGATCGATTTGAGGAACTGGTGGTTTGTAGAGGTACATGGAGACATATAAGGGTTCTAAGATCTAGGGTTTCGCGCTTAGGGACAGGGCTGCGCAGAGCAGCAGGGGAGCATCAAGAAGATGCAGAGCTGTCGCCCCCATTCTATGGTTTGTGTGGGTATGTGATCAAGCAGGAGGCCCATCCTGGTGGTCCCATACATACAAGCTTCGGGGAGCAGGGGGGCAGGGAAAGTTCCAGGTGAAGATCTGCATTTATTTCCGGGGGAAACATGTGTAAGGGGGCTTGCAATTTCAGAGCAAAAGCATTGACCTCCTAATTGCCCTATGTAAGGTGCTGGAAATGTGTAATGATAATATACTCTACTTCAGAGGATTCGAAAGCGGCCCAGCACCACAATGGATTGATTCTGGTAAGGATCCTGGTGAGGATGTGCCAACATCACGGTCAGCCGTGACAGCGCCAAAAAACAAGATGATCACATTGTGATCAGATAGAATTAATGTTTTAAAGAAGGCGTCATGCTAACAGTGATACTAGGAAGAGTCAGTCGTAGTAGTGATACCTAGTATAAAGCCAGAATCGCCGTAGTAAAAGGTAGAGGCACCGAAAGACATGCTGCTAAGAGGCTGCCAGGAGCAACATGGCGCGCCCGCGGAAGGCGCCATGCAGAGGGGTTTCTCATAGGAGTGGCAATGCTTTGAGCAGGCTGTAGGGCGGTGGGTTCTGAGGAAGTAGACCGAAGATATGACAATGAAAAAGAAAGAAGTTGTCTTTCGAGGTGACGATCCAAGCCTGCCTAAATATGACATCAGAGGGCCATTATGTCATCATGCTTTGCCTTATACAGGCATTGCTCGTCAAGAGATAAGAGTCATGGAGAGCGGTTGCGATGTGGATCCAAATTCGACAGAGTCTTTCATCCACAAAACGCCCAACAAGTATCCTGGCAGCCCAAGTCAAAGCTCCCCTTCTGTGACACTCCACAGAAAGCAGTTGTTTTTGGTCGTTATTGTTCACCCCTCGGCCAGGTGGTCCACAGGGGGCAGGACTTCGAGGCTTTGCCAAAGTGCCCTTTGTTGTTCTGCTTTTTCCCTACGCTGATGGATGAGCTACCAAGTAGGCTAGATTTTCGTAAGCTTCTAAGTAAACTGGCATTGCCTCCTCCTAGCGGACCCTGGGCTCTCCTCCACCCCCTAATGCCCTAAATCCGCTCTGGGTAGGTACCGCTTCCGCGGCATAGAATACGAAGGCAGGGCCCACCTTGCCCCTGCATTGGAGCAGGAGCGTGATTTGGTCTGAGGGGATCCTTGGGGGTTATATTAGGTTATATAGGGATAATGGAAAAAATAGGATGGAAACTACTATAGTGTGTGTATATATATATATATACATTGGTGTGTTTTCGGGGTTTTTCTTGGGAGAATGGAAAATACAATGCAAATCATAATTCAGTGTATATTGGGGTACATAAGGCTTATACAATGTTATTTGGGATAGTGGAAAATACAAGGGGAACTACTATTTAGGGCTTAGGGTCAATGTTGTAGGGATCCTTTAGATTTTTTTGGCGGATGGGATTCCTCATAGCATGTAAAAAGGATCCTATCTTCTCCTAGGGTAATGAGGGCCAAGGTTTGTGTTTTATGGGTTCCGGGTTCCGGGGCCTCTCCTATCACACGATCTTTGCTCAGGCTGACCATCTTCAATGCGTCACATCGTTAAAAGGTTATGAATGGCCTACACAAGATGTGGCCTTCACTCATGGAAGACATGCTCATGCGATACACATATACATGTACATAGACATACATTTGTATAAGCATATATATATATATACATGTGTTCATACGTGCACACACACATGTTTACATATACTCAGAGCCGTAGCGAACCTTTCAACTGCCCTTTCTACATGCTTAATGAGCTGTAATGCGTGATGCATGGGCTCACTGGTGCAGGAGCTTTACGCACCCGAGGCGCGCCAGCATGCCAGGGTTCTCACGCAGTGGCCTGCAGTTAAGGAACTTCAGTCAAGGCACCGCAACATGCACATATATATATATATAATATCTATATATATATATACATCTCTGCAAAATGGTACCCCCACCCCCAAAAACCCCACGCCTTATTATGTAGTATATATATACATGTAGCATTAGAAGAAGCAGTTCCCTACTAGCGGTGAAGTTCCTTAACAGCAACCCAGGCGATGGTGGAGCTATCAGATGTAAAGGGTTCGCAGGATCTTGGATGCCTAGACACTTGTGTTTATAAGCCATCGCGTGATTGACGGCTTCGTTTGGTCAGATGGTTTGGCAGACTGGCTTGGACCCTAGCATGATCAGATGTTCATGTCCTTATGTGTACATATATATTGCCCCTTAAGTAGATAGAATATGTTTTTGGGTATGTTATAATAGGATCCCCATGTATCCTATATTCTATCTACTTAAGGGGGACTATATATATACACACACTGCATATGGGTCTTATCAGACGCTTCCAGCGGAGTGGGAGTGATTCGGCAGCTTTTCCTGCTTCATGTGGCTCCTTTTCATGCGACATCTTCTCACACAGTTTCGTACAAGTGCGCGGACGTTGGAAAGCCGTTGTGTTAAGGACCACTGGGCCGGCCGAAGCTCAATTGCGCAGTTTCCATGAACTGGAGGCCCCAATATGATCATCCTTATACTAGAGACTTCCAAACAGGTTCCTCTCATTTTGGAAGTCTCCCAATGTTTGCAACCTCAACCCTAAACCCTGAACCGGCCTGCTCAGCTGACCTTGACAGGGAGTTCTGGGCTTGAATTGAATTCAGGTTGAAAACCTAAGCCTACGCAAGCCTTTCATGAGCTATATTCTAAACTCCTTACAGGGGGTTATATCGGGGGTTATTAGGGGGGATACTACAAGTTTAGAGTATCCTACATGTTTAGAGTATCCTATAGCTCATATCGCTTTGAACTTGCCACTACCTGAAAGCTTTCCCCATGTTGGCTGGGGCCGTATACTGTCGCCGACTGTCGCTGTCGCTCCGATGCGGATGTCGGATGCGGAGCGATCCTTCGCATCACAAAAGGAGCTAGGTGTTCTTGCGAATGGAGATGCACCTGGATCAGTTGAACTGTAGTCTAAACTGCTTAAAGGGGGCTTATATAAAGCAGTATAGAGGGGACTAGTATAGGGGTTAGTACGAGGGATGCTGGGAGTTTAGACTATGGCTCAGCTGATGCATTGTGATTAATGCCTAAAGAATCCCTATGTAGCATAGCCCCTATATATCCCTAAATACCTTAAATCAACCCTTATGTGATTCCTATGTAGCTCTTCATATCCCCATATATACCTTGCCGGAAACATGGCAGGAACGAAATCTTGGTGGTCTTCAGCGCACGGCTATGGCATCCTTGATTGGCCTCAAGGCATTTATTCCGGTAATATTTGTGGTGCTCGGCTTTACCTCTGAGGTTATATAGAGGTTATATAAGATCTGAATATATTGCCCGAAGAATAGACAAATCGAAAATGACATCGAAACTGGGGTTGGTTTGCCTACGGCTGGTTAGCAGGGAAGGAAGGAATGGAAACTAGTAGATAATTTGAAAGTATATGTGGATTACAGTTAGCATCCATTCCTTCATTTCCTGTAAGCCAGAGGTAAGCTTCGAACTGTCGTGAAGAGTGGCCTCGGGCATGATGAGCACACCCAGTTCCTGACAGAGACGTCCCACATTCTACAGACTCTATAGTCACGGATAGAATATGGAACTCCCCTCAACCATAAGTAAGACCCCCATAAACCCCATATTCTATCTGCTTAAGGGGATTTATAAGTCTGAGCGACGGAATCTGTTGTCGCGAGTATGTGCATGGTTTCTAGACTTGATTTTCGACCTGTTCCAGCTTCGGGGTTTGTAGCAAAGGGCTATCATATCAGTTGCCGTCAATGTCTGTGGATCAAAGGTTACTGAGAAAAGAGCGAGGTCCGCTATCTGATGGGGACTCGGTACGATGCCGGAGCCTGTAAATTCGAAGGCTTTCATATTAGATTGGAATAAGCAGAGAGTGCACCGAGAGACAGAGAAGGCCCTCCAGCGCCTTGAGAAGAAGCAGAGAGAGAGAGAGCGAGAGAGAGAGAGAGACACTGACATACACACTACGTATCCGCTCTTCTCATGGTTCTGTGAGCTGTCTCGATTTCTCAGGCTCAACCGTGCTATGAAGTTTCGGCTGTCGAGCCCAAACTCATATACTCGCATCTGCCTGTACTGTGGACGTTACGCATCAGCCTTTGATGCCTCGCCCACAAGGTCAGAAATAGCAAAATATCAGGAACCAACACAAAGCTATGAGGACGCTGTCCCTAGCTACATTGCAACGATAGATTTGCTGTCCCAGATTGGGCTTTGGTTCCCTTGGCTCAGCGTGGTATTTGTCGGCATTCCTGTCATTTCGCTCTGAATGCCTTGCAGCATCATTTTCATGGACTGGGTGTCTACTTTTCGAGAGGATGGTCTTTTATTAGTAGCCGGGCCAAAACATAGCTCTCCATCCACCAAGTCTGAATGATATTCCCGCACTGTCCTAGGAATACTTATGTCAGCCACGAACAATCAGCCACATTGAAGCTTACAACTTTAAGCTATACACCCAAAATCCTCAGCACGGCCATTGCTCCAAACCCTAATATCTTACTCGGACTCTAAACCCTAAAGCCCTAAACCGCCTGAGCCCACCAGGTGCGTCCACTGGGGCCCGCGCAGCCATGGTTTACCGGGCTGGTGGTTTGTTACTTACCTTCACAAAGTGCGGGATCTCTTCAAGGTTTAGGGTTTAGGGTTTAGGGTTCAGTGGAATTTACGGCTATGTATTCCCAGAAAGAGATACATGGCTAAAGGGTTGAGAGGTTCCCAATTGGTGCCGCGTTGCGGGGTGTGGCACCTGCCAGTGAGCTTATGAAAAGTTCCTCATTGAAAATAAAACGAATATATACAGATATACATATATATGTATGTATATACACATGTAAATCCCTCTCAAAACTATAACATGGGTACGTGGCTCTTACTGGTTTTACTACATGCTAGGACTCGTGGTAGATTTCTAGAGTTCGCCAGATCTCCCAGTCCAAAACGGCTACAACTCTTGTTTCCACGGCTTCAGAGGAGTTCTGCCCCTGACCTGAGTGTGTGATGCAGACCTCCTTTTGGTGCTTCCACGACTTCGACAGCAGGGCTATCAGTACCATTTGGGGAACCTTTTCTTTTTTTTGAGGGGACGGCCAAGTTTCCTGAAATCGAGGCAGGGAACTACCTTGTAAGCACTGGAGGAACGCAATAGCCGCTGCCTGAGGTGAGCCCGAAGACAGGAACAACATGACGCTGACACCAGTCATCAAGCAGAATCTCGTTCAGATGATAAGGACGCCGAAGGTGAGAGACGCGACAGTCAAGGCGCTCACGGAGGTTGAAGGAGTTAAGAGCACGTAGGTGCCACTGTGTTACTTGCGACAGAGTGATCACTAGCACCAGTGGATGTGTACGGAATCTGCAATCTTGAGCCACTCTTGTTTTAATCCCGAAGATCGGCATAGCTCAAGATTCCGCCAAACTTGACAGCAGGCCGCCGTGGACGAACTTCTGCTAACTGTCTCCAAGAACTGCACCAGCGAGAGGGACCTGAAGATGACCTTTGTGGCTAATGCCTTGCGGCGCTTTGGCTGTAGATCTTTAGGATTTAAAAGCTAGTATAATAGGGTATATACCCCAATATACCCTAGTAGTTTCCATTTTCTCTTCCATTATCCTTATATAATCCCAATATATAGTATATAATGGGATTCTATAGGGATAATGGAAAAGAAAGTGGACACTACTATAATAGCATATTGGGGTTATATAGGGCTTCAGGTTTGCAAATTAGGGGCCCAGTAGAGCCACACAAGCTGGATATGTTTGTCTTTAGCGCCCTTTTGTTGTCCGTGGCTTTCCAACAGCTGGACGTTTGCTTACTTAGCTAATAGAAGAACTTTAACCTTTTTTGGCCTTACTTGTTTAGGTAATCATATAAAGTTTGGACTCATTTAGCACTGGTTATTTGGGAAGACACGTTGTCAACGGTTCCAAATGAATTAAGTTTGTTTCGTCTACTACCCCATCAGACGAGTATTAGACGTTCATGACAGAAGGTACAGCAGTGTAAATTGCAGCTTCGGATGCAAAGGTGCAATTACCCATGACAAGTTGCCGAACGGTTTGAAACCCTAAACCCTATCCGATCCCTGAGGTTGCCACAGAGTATTTGAGTCCCCTTTAAGCCAAGAGTATATACCATATAGATGCCTAGACACTGTGTGGAGGTCAAAGGTGTCTGCTAGTTTAAGGCCCAGCTCCCCTTGAACAAATTGAACAGACTATTCCCCTCCCATATTAAAACCCCCGCCTCCCTGACATCGAAAATTCCCTTTGCGGTATGAAATCGGGAAGATTCAATATTAGGGGTTTGAGGGTTTTCATATTAGGGGAGGTGATTGTTTTTTTTTTGAAAGCAGGGGTCTGTATGGGGATGCTTGGGGTTAGGTCGCCCCCCCCAGCAGTAGTGATGATGACTTTGATCTAGCTACCATAGTGTATCTGGAATGGATTTACCTTACTTCCTAAACCCTAAATAGTAGTTTCCATGTTCTTTTCCATTATCCCAATATAACCCCTATATACTCCCTCTATAACCCTAATATTACCGCGCTTTTTTGGGGCAATTGGTTTGCCTACTTTCAGGGACCAGGGATCCCTTGTGGTTACTGACCTACGGGATGCGTAGAGAGTGTTGAGCCCACCGACCTCCCAGTAGTAGATATTCCCCCTGACCTATGGGGGACTGTCAAAATTATGGTCCCTTTTTGGGTCCCTATTATAATACGGGGCCTAATACGGGGCCTAATTTAGGGGACCCAAAAAGGGACCATGATTTTGACAATCCCCCATATGATGGTAGTATATTGGGCGTATCCGTTGGTAGCGGGGTGGGGGTTTCATTCGTTATAGGGGGGAGGGATGACCTCTAAACCCTGTAGAAAAGGGGCTTAGGCCTTGCCTGACTTGATTTGCACCTTTACCGGGCATCTCTGTTAAAAGTTGAAAGGCTTGAGCCCCAACATACTCTTCTGATCTCTGAATTTCTTCACATACATAACTGCGCGCATATGGTAGTCACCCTAAACCAGGGGACCCCTACGTAAACACCACAAAGCTATAACCCTTATTAATGGGATCCCCAAAATGGTATCCAAGGCTTGAGCGCTTTCGTTTGCTTCCCAGGTGATAGAGGGATATATAGAGCTTATGATTCTCCGCAATTAGCGGTACTTTTGGGGATCCCATTACTTAGGATTATAGATCCCCTGATTAAGGGTAGCTACCATATTCACGCGGTCATGTATGTTAATAAGTTCAGAGATTAGAAGAATATAGTCCCCCCCTTAAGTAGAAAGAATATGGCTTTGCGTATATTTTTATATACCCCCTATTCTCTCTACTTAAGGGGGACTATAATCCTAAACCCTAACCCCGAAATAGTAGCTTCCATTTTCTTTTCCATTATCTTAATATAACCCTAATATATTCTATCTACTGAAGTGGGACTGTATGTTAGGGGCGGCAGTTCGCTGAGTTCATGGGCCTCCAAGGGTTGGACAAGGGGGAAGCGGGGGTTTAGGGTTTAGGGTTCAGGCTTTTAGGGGTTTAGGGTTTATGAGGGTTCAGGCTTTAGGGTTTAGGGCATATGGAACGATGACATTCTGTTGCCGAAGCTGAATCCAACATAGACATTCCCTTCATGTCCGAAGTAATTATTTCCGTAGGATCTCCAGAGAGATTATAATGAAAGGGAGGGTAGCCTAAATAGATTTGATGGTCCATTTCCTGTTGCCAATTGAATCTCCATCATGAGGATAATATGAGGCCTACACCTCCCATATACGCATTTCCCATGTTATTTTCCATTGAAAGTAATAGAACTGCTTCAGAAACCCTCTACCCTGAATAGTAGTTTATGTACATACATATACTCCTATCTGTCCATATATAATCCCCAGACAATCCCTTTAAACTCCTAAATATCTCCATAGAATCCCCAATTTGAGCAATCTGCGGGAGGCCATCCCTGAGCGGGCGAGATCAGGAACAGAGACTACGGCAGCTAAAGGGCTGGGAGAGCTACCCGGAGAGGTTATGTAGGGTTGTATGAGCTGTAGTCTAAACTCCTGCAAAGGAGTTATATAGGGCATCATATAGGGGAGTATGATGGGGGTTTATGAAGGGGGATACTAGGAGTTTAGAGTATAGCTCATAGTTTAGGGTTTAGGGGCTACACAGGAGTCACATGGGGTTTGGAGTTTAGGATTCAGGGTTTGGTCTTTGCAAGTAAGTCTTTGAGGGTTCAGGTTCTGGGTTATACCGGTAGACCTGCAGCCCCAATTACCTACGGCTTGGTAGTAATTACCCCTTAGTTAGTACCTACAACCCACAACTGTAGTTAAGTGGGTTACAGGTAGCGGTTTGATGGGGCTTCAAGCGTGAAGGGATTCCGGTTGAAGCTTTCAAAGGTTTTTGGAATATGTAGAGGCGTCGAAGGACTTGAGGAAGCAGATCAGTGGAAATTTCTTGGCAGGTAGGTACATCAAAAGGCTGGACGAGCAAACCAGGTTCCTCATCATTTGCACTTGAACAGATACGGCTTCCGCCAGCCCTTCAACCCTCAGACAATGGCTTTATAGGTTAGTATTACGGACAGCGGGGGCTTCTAAGTGACCCTCCAGATAGAACCCAATTCCCCATATGTATGCCCAGTTTCCCTCTATATGACGTTAGTATAGCCCATGTATAACCCTGTATGTCGTAGATCCCGCTTTTTTGCTCCATTCGATTCTTGTTTCTTGTGCAGGAAGCTTTGGTCGCTTCATGGGTTTAAGGTTTGCGAGCTATTCAGGTCACATAGGGATAATGGAAAAGAACGTGGAAGCTATCTAGGGATTAGGGTTTTAATTTAAGGGTTTAGGGTTTGGTGCGCCGCACAGGGGTTGGTCCCACGCAGGTCCTTTCTTGCTTTGCATATGAAGGGCCTTGGGTTGGAGCAGCATGCTCCGGGCAACATGTTCTTTTTTGAGCTTATCCCCAATGTACCCTGAGACATACACCCTAAACCCTAAACCCGCTTTGATGACCTCCTACCTAAAGGTTCACGGACCCTTTCAGCCTGGATGTTCTACAATATTCTATCATGCGTAACAACCTGCTTCTTAGCAAGCACGAACTTGGTGAACCCTATGAGCCATAGTCCAAACTCCTTACAGGGGATTATATCGGGGATTACTATAGGGTTATTAAGGGGGATACTAGGAGTTTAGACTATAGCTCACATCTCGATCATTTCCGATCTAAACGTGATGCGAGCCCCCCACAACACAGAAAGCATGGATGGAAGGAGGGCGTAAAGGTAGTGGTGGCGGCGATGGTCCTGGGGGTGGGGGTTGCTGTGCCAGTAGGAGTGGCAGTGGCAGTGGCACTGACAGGGGCGACACAGTTGAACCCAAGCTTCAGAGACTTTCAAGGTCAATCCTGGCAGCTCCCCATTGCCCTGAATTCTTGCCTTTCTCAATCCCATCAAGCCCAGACTTTGCAAGCCTACCACCCACGATTATGATCTTGGACGCCAGCCTTCGCCAGCGCATGATTGCCGAGGAGGTTTCCAGGGCCAAAGGTTTTGGAGTTTCACAGGTGCTCGCTGTTTGGGCGTAAGGCAGAAGAGTTTCTGGCTGTAGGCTTGAGGCCTAGAATGCTTGCGTTTTAAGGCCCCCTGCGCCTGACTTCAGAGATGCTTCGCTGTGTCAAGTGTCAGGTTCGCTTTGAAGCATTTATTGTACTTCAGATTTGTAGACAAGATCTCCGACTTTTTGACACAAGGCCGTGTGGCAGTAATGCGTTCGAGGCACATCCAGGCTCATTTAAAGATGGGCCCGACGTCTTCAGCAGCTTCGGGGTATTGATCTGCAAATACGAACGCATGCATCTGGCAGCTCATGTTAGCAAAGCAGCCTGTACACCGAAAGAGACCGGTAGAAAAAATAGAAAAGGAAGAAGATATAGAAAGAGAGAGAGAGAGAGAGATATATATATATATAAAGAGAGAGCGCGAGAGTAACGTCTCCAGGATAAATCCAATACATTAGTTCAAACATGTTAAAGCTGGATTTATAGGGAATTACCTGGGACTTACGGTTTAAATATTTAGGGTCTAAACTCCTTAAAGGGAGATTATGTAGAGGCTTCCATCCTACAACTCACGGACTCGGCGGAGATGTTTTCAAGTTGCGGTCGAACCTGGAGGTCCCTAACACGTCTCGGGTTTGAGGGCAGAATGCTTTCTGAAGAAGGGATTCGTCTCGTCTCGAGCAAGAAGTCTCATTAATCCCCTCCCCCTAACTTTAAGCCTCCCACCCCCCTAACATCAAATAC